TATAATATAAATAAATCTATTTTATAAAAATTGTATTATAAAATTAATTTAATTAACACTTATCATTCTAATAAAAGCTTTATATTTAAATTATCATTATATATTAATTTCTGATCAATAGTAATTAATATAAATATTTATTTCTATTATTATAAATATTACATAAAAAATGTTTATAAATCAAACCTAATATATTATATAATTTAAATATACATTTATAATTACTATTTATCAAAAAATAATTATAATAGAGTTGTATATTTTTATATAATATATTTTTATATTAAAATTAAATATTTATAAATTTCATTAAAAATTATATTTATATATATTTGGGATAAATTAAAAATATCTTTAAGATAGTTATTTTATTTGAGAAATTAATATAAATTTATTATTTTTAACTTTTTAATATGATAAAAAAAAACTATAGTTTATTATTTATAAAATTTTCAATTATTATAAAGTCACATTAGTTATAAAATATATATTTATTAAGTTTATTAAAGAAAAGAAATAATAATAGATTAATCTAAATTAGTTTATAAAAAAACTATAAGAAATAGTTAATACTTATATTTAAATTTTTAAAAATTTAATAAAATTATTAGCAATATCATATATTAAAAAAATTTTATATAATAATTAACTATATAATAATTTCTAATTAATTAATCTGATTTTAACAAATTTAGTTTTTTAAAATTAGTTTATGATAGTTATTCTGTTTAAAATTTTATTTATATTCAAATTTTACTATATAAGAAATTTTAATATAAATTATTAGGATATCTTTCAAGATTTAAAAGATTTGAACTTCAAAATAAATATAAAATTATAATTTTAACATTTATAATTGATAAGTTATAATCTTTAAAGATAACTAATTATACTTATAATTTTTTTATTATTTACTATATTAATACTATTATATATAAGCTTAAAAGTTTATTAAATAGTATAAAAAAAAATATATTTTTTTTATTATAAGATTATTTATATAAAATAATTATTAATTTATTTATTATATAAATTATATTATTTTTAGAAAATATATATATAATTAAATAGTTTTAGATTATAATTAATATTATATTATCATCAGATTCAGTTTTAGTAATCTTAATATCTAAATTGAAAATACTATGAAATTGATTTTATTTGTCAAAGTTTATGATTTAGGATATTTTTTAAATTTTATAGGTATCTATTATACTTAAATTAATTCTGTAATATATATATCTTAAAACTTTAAGATTTCTTTAATTAAATTTAATGATGAACTTAAAAGCAAGTTAATATAGAATATCATAATCAAATCTTAAATAAGAGATAACATTAAAAGAAAAAAATTTTGTAAATTTAAACTGATTCTTTTTATTAATAACTTAAAAAGAATAAAATAATTTAAAACTTGTATAAGAATTAATTTATAACTTTAACAAATATAATATATTTTATATAAACCTATTTTAATATGATGAATTATTTGTTAAGTTATAAAATAATGAAATCTTATAAAATGAAATATAATAAAATATAATAAAAATATTAAAAATAATAATTATAGTGAAAATAATAAGTATTTAAAGAGATAAATTAGATTAATAAAATAAATTTTGCAAATCTTGCAAATCAGATGAACCAATATGTCAATCAATTTTTATGATTTATAATACATAAAATTAAATTTAATGCATTTTAAAAAATCATTTTTTTTAGTAATATTATAATAAAACCTTATTAAAATATTTATAAAACTTAGAAAAAAGGTAAAATTATATCAAAGCTTATAAAAAATGGTGAACTATATCAAACTTTAGTAAAAAAATTAAAAAATTAGTAAAATTAAAGGTTTAGATATTTTGTAAATCAAAAAATGAGTTTAGATAAGCAATCTTAATTATTATTAATTTTTAATTATATTTAAAAAATATATATATATATATATATAAAAGATAATATAAAAAGAAAATAAAAAATATTTACAATATATATAATTTTTTTAAAAGTAAGTCTTGTAATCAATAAATGATTTAAGTAAATTATTTTTTTTTATTATGATTATTTTGTAAACTATTATAATAATAACATAGAATAAAATACTATTTTGTTTATATTAAGAATTAATTTAGATTATTAAAAAACAATTGATTTAACAATTTAAACCTATCTAATATAATTTTAATATTATTATTAAGCAGTACTAATTTAAACACAATTTTTGATTTTAAATATTTTAATAAGGTTTTGGACATAGGAAAATGTATTCGTTACTTGCCTATAACATGCCCAAAACTGTTTAAGACTGTCCAAATTGTTCAATTTTTAACACTGCTATTAAGTATTTTCTTAAATAATACTTATACTATAGAAGAATTACCATATATATATAACAATAAAAGCTTAACAAAAAGCTTAATAAATAGATTTATTTCAGTATTTACTTTTTTAACCTATATAATAATGATATTATTTGTTAAAAAAAAAAAAAATTAATTAATAATTTTTGTTAGGTAACAACAAAAGATTTTGCAATAAAAATTTTTTATTTTGGTATTCCCAAATAAAGTTTGTGTTTGTTTCTAAAACGTAATTAAGATTAAAAGGTAACACGGTTTATTCATTTGTTTATTAAGATTATGAAGACCACTACTAAGATTTTTTTTTCGATATAACCAAACAGATTTTATGCCCATGCTTTTATCAACATTGAATTTAATGAAAAAAGACCGAGAATTATGAAAAAAAGAAACCTAATATGACCTTGATCCGCTCGATCCTAACGAAGATTTTTATCCAAATAATCTTTCATTTTAGCGATATGCCGTCTATTTTATTAAATCAGAGAAAATAGAAAACTACAGCATTACCAACAGATTCACTAGCGAGGAACTAAACGGCCTTCTTACCAGCTTCAATCTTTAAAATAACAGCCTAACTTTGAGATAATAAGAGACAAAATGATTGTGACCAAATCATGACCATCCTCTTCTAGAATCGATACTTGAACTTTTCAAAGGTACAAAAAAAAAAAAAAAAAAAAACCGTTTATGATTTAGCTCCATTCTCTTAAAAAAAAAAAAGAATGTTATAGTGAAATTATCGACGCTGATTAGTTCAGGTCAAGATGATAATATTTGCGTTTGTGCACGGTGTCTGTTTGTCCGCCCGCTCAAAATTTGAGTCGATACGTGGTTGGTCCCTTTCGTTACACTTGTGCACCTGACTTAATTAGATTAAATGATCGAAATACCTAGGGAAAAATAATTGCTGACCTTTCCAAGAAGCTTACACATATATAAGAATATTGCCTTTATGTATAATTTTGGAAAAGATATTTTCGTGTAAAAAATAAATAGAATAATATTATTGTGTTTCGTTGAAGTGTTGTTTACACGATTTTTTTTTTTTTTTTTTTTTTGGTTATTGCTTTGATAGAAATAACCTATATGTATGTTTTTTCAGCCCATTTGCAGAAATTCCGGATAAAATAAGCCAAAGATTTCATCATTATCAATATTAAACACTATTACTTTTCTGTCTAGAATTCATTTATTTCGAGGCCTTTCTATTTCGGGAATTTCAATTCGATGCAGGGCCTTTTAAACATTACTATTATTGATCCAAATATTTATCAATCGTTTTTTTTTACTGTAATAAAAAAAAATTCCCATGCTTGCGAAGTAACGCCAAATGCTGCGGGAAATTGCATTGATACAATGAAAGTTATTCTCGAGTTTTTGTTGATTTTGAGCATTGAACTATTTTAGGAAATTTTTAATTTAGTTTCTTGTGAGACTCTCTCCATCTTGCGGATGTTATCTTTTGATTCCTCACTTTAGCACAAAAGACATTATGGGTAACAATAAAAAAGAGAAATGCCAAACTTTGAAAAAAATTTGTCATGCGTAATTGTTTTTATTTAAAAAATAAAGAATGTTCGATTTATCTTTTTTGGATCGGAATATATTAACAATTCATCACCGCAGCAATTATTCTTTGTGTTGATATCGTTGGTTAACTCGATGCAATTCCTGACTTTTAAATGGTATTCGGCTAAATAAAAAGATTCAAACGATACTAAATGGAGCCACTTTAATACCGAATTCCGCTGTTTCTTGTAATACCAATGATATTCCGAGGATTCCCCGATTTCCAATTAAATGAATTAAATGATGCGCAGTCTTAAAGTTACTATTGTATCCGCAGAAAATTGGTTTTACATTACTCAGACACATAAATTAAATTTTACAATGTTACACTTTAAATTAATTCGATTAAAACGTGTTCTTGCAAATATTAGTATAAATATGTCGCTTGATTCCTCATTAAGAAACAAGATTTCCCTTGTCACTTTGCTGTCGGGGTTATTTTAAAATATCTCCTTTATCTTAATAAATCATTGACCGAATCAATTTGTTCTTGCCTCCAAAATTATAATTGATCCTTTTCATCAAAATTACGAGTTAAATAAATAATTAAGCCCCTTAAATATAAAATATTTTTTTAAAAAAAAAAAAAAAAAAATCTTACGCGACTTAAGTACCTAAAATAGTAATTATGAATGATCAAAATAATAATAAAGAATTTTCTTTACCAGGAGAAATTGTGGAATCATCTGATTCACATGTAGAAAAATCTCAATCATCTTCATCTGATGGTAAAATAGCTAATAATAATGAAGATATTGATTTCTCTATAGTAGATTCATTACCCCCACAATTAAGTAAAGATGTTAATGAAAATGAAAAATCTGATTTTGTAAAAAAATCAATTGAAAATGATGAAAAAGCAAAAGATAATGATAAGAAAAAATCTGAAACAATACCTTTCTCTCAATTATTTCACTTTGCTACTCCCGTTGATAAGTTATTTATGATATTAGGTAATGTTTGATTTTCATATGACATTTCATTTGTTATCTCTAATTCTAATTTTAAATATCATTATTTAAAGGAACAATATGTGCGTTGGCAAATGGAGTTTCAATCCCAATTATGACAATTATATTTGGGAAATTCATCCAAAGTTTTTTTGATTTTGAGTTTGCCATCAATACTGGAAGTGATGTTGGTGTCGCAAAAGAAAAATTAAATGATGATGTCAAAAGAAATGCTTATTATTTCTTAGGTCTCGGTTGTGCCGTTTTCGTATTTTCTTATGGTCAAATGTCTTTTTGGATGTTCTCCGGCGAAAGACAGGCAAAAAGGATTCGTGAATTGTATTATACCGCAATCCTTCGTCAAGATATCGCTTTCTTTGATACTGTCTCAACTGGTGATGTTACCACCCGTATCTCTGGTGACACGAGCCTTTACCAAGAAGGAATTTCAGAAAAAGTTGGTTTAATATTGCAACAGTTCGCCACTTTCATTGGTGGTTTCGCAGTCGCTTACACGACAGGTAAAATAAATAAATAATGAATATAATAATTCTTCTTTTTCCCATTAAATCTTATACCATTTTTCTCTTCAGGATGGAAATTGTCACTTGTTCTTACTGCTATAATCCCGCTCCTCGCTGTCGCTGGAGGTGTAATGGCCAAAGCCATTTCTAATGACGCTTCTCAAGGACAAGGTACATCAATCGCATTATATCTTGTAATGTTCATATAATTAAATATTTTCTTTTTGTTGTTTCACTATGATAGATGCTTACGCCGAAGCCGGTGGTATAGCCGAACAAGTCTTATCTGGAATTCGAACTGTCGTTTCATTTGGCGGGGAAAAACGCGAACTCGCTCGTTACAATAATAAATTAAATGATGCATATAAAATTGGTGTAAAGAAAGCTTTTATAAGTGGTGCCGGTCTTGGTGCGATGATGTTTATTATGTTTGGAAGTTACGGTTTAGCTTTCTGGTATGGAAGCATTCTTATCGTCAAAGGTGAACAAACCGGGTCGGAAGTTTTGAATGTCTTCTTCGCTGTTATCATTGGTGGTACGTAAAAAATATTCAAATATATATACATATATTTTTTTTTTTTAAAAAAAAAAAATCGTGTTTCTAATTAATAATAATTGTTTTAGCCTTCTCTATCGGAAATGCTGCGCCACACTTCTCGTCGGTGGGAAATGCGTTAGGTGCGGCTACCAAACTCTTCGCTGTTATTAAAAGGGTTCCCACTATAGATTCCTCTTCAAATGCGGGCAAAAATATCAATAGATCTGAGCTTGTAGGAAAAATTGAATTCAAAAATATTAAATTTCATTATCCCACGCGTCCTGAAGTACAAGTTTTAAACGATTTCAATTTAACGATTGAACCTGGTCAAACTGTTGCTCTAGTTGGTAGTTCAGGAAGTGGTAAATCAACAATTGTTGGTTTATTAGAAAGATTTTATAATCCTATTAGTGGAACTATTACTTTGGACGGTGAAGATATTAAAAATTTTAATGTTAAATCTTTAAGGACTCAAATTGGTCTCGTAGGTCAAGAACCCGTCCTTTTCCCTGAAAGTATTAAGCAAAATATTTTATGGGGTGCTGATCCTTTTAAGAAAGAGCAAACTTTGGAACATGTTATTGAAGCTTGTAAGAAAGCCAATGCTCATGATTTCATTGATGAGTTACCAAAAAAATATGATACCTTAGTTGGTGAAAAAGGTGCTTTGTTATCTGGAGGTCAAAAACAACGGTAAGAATTGCTATTGCGAATGGACATTAATTACATCACCTTTTTGGGATAGTCGTCTAATATTTGATATCTATAGTATCGCAATTGCTCGTGCTTTGATTAAAGATCCTCCGATATTATTACTCGACGAAGCCACATCTGCCCTTGATACCGAATCTGAGAAACTTGTGCAAGATGCTCTTGATAATGCTTCAACGAATCGAACTACAATCGTTATTGCACATCGGTTATCAACCATTAAAAATGCCGATAAAATTGTCGTTATGTCTAAAGGTGAAATTATAGAAGTTGGTCGCCATGACGAATTAATAGCCAAACAAGGTGCTTATTTTGGACTTGTAAAAGCCCAAGAATTAAAGACTCGACAACTTGGTTCCGAAGATATTAACGATAACGAAGATGATGAAGACGATTCAAGTTTAAGTAATCAAACCGAGGATGAAACAACCATTAATTTTGATGACAAACATCACAATTTACATTTACGTCGTATGTCAACAAAAGCTTCAACCGTAAAATCTGGTGGTAAAACGGAACAAGAAATCCTTGAAGAGTCCGAGGCGGAAAAATTATTGCAAAAAATGCCACTTTCAAGAGTTTTTAGAATGAACTCTCCCGAAGCCATTCTCATATTCATCGGAACAATCTCAGCCGCCGTTAATGGAGCCATCATGCCACTCTTCTCTTTAATTTTCTCTTCAATTTTAACCGTATTTTCAAGAACTGATCAGTAAGCTAAGATAGTGTGATTAATTGGTTAATTGTGAGATAAAATATTAACTTTAATTTAAAATTTTGTAGACCTATAGAACTTCGAAAACAAGCAAATTTCTGGGCTGGGATGTTTGGAGTTCTTGCTTTGGTCGCATTTCTTTGCAATTTCTTCCAAATCTCATGTTTCATGCTTTCAGGTGAAAGACTTACAAGAAGGTTACGCAGCTTAACATTTGAAGCTCTTATGAAACAAGAAATCGGTTATTTTGATGACGAAAATAATGGTACCGGTATTCTGACATCAAAATTAGCTGTCGATGCCACTAAAGTAGAAGGTTTGACTGGTTAGTTTCATGATTTATTATTACATCTTTGTTTTTACCAATCTGTTACATAATATAACAGCGTTTTTATTTATTTATTTATTTAATTTAGGTTCTTTGATGGGCAATATACTTCAAAGTTTTACTAATATCGTATTTGGACTTGTAAGTCAGTTTATTAATCATTTTTCAAAAAAAAGACGATAATTTAATTTTTTTAACTTTCTTAAATAGGGAATTGCATTTTACTTTGGTTGGAAACTTACATTGGTTATTCTTGCCGCAGCTCCGGTTGTTGCCATTGGTGGATTTTTGGAAATGAAGTCTCTTGCAGGTTTTGGGGCGAAAGTAAGTTCATAAAATTTGTTATAAAAATATTCGATTTATGAAATTAACCTTTTTATTTTTTATTTAAAAAAAAAAAAATTGTTTAGACGCGTAAAGCTTATGAAGGTACCGGACAAATTGTTCAACAGAGTGTTTCCAATATGAGAACAATTTCAGCCCTTACCAGAGAAGATACATTCAGAACCATGTACATTGAAGCTATTCGAATTCCTCACAAGATTGCTATTAAAGGAAGTTTTCTATCATCTTTTGGATTCGCAGCTTCTCAAGGATTTTTATATTTTGTTTGGTCTCTTGCTTTCTGGTATGGAGGACAATTAATTATTAGTCGAGAATACGAAACGTAAGTAATTTTTGCGACATTGTTGATTTGTATTTAATTTTTTTTAATTAATTCCTGCTTATATTTTTTAATTCTTATAGGAAAAACATGTTTAGTGTGCTCTTTGCCGTTGTCTTTTCCGCAATGGCAGTTGGACAAATGAGGCAACTATGATGTTTATTTAGCGTCTTTACCCTAGGGAAATAATCACGGAATTTTTTAACAATATTTTTTTTTATGATGATTATTATTTTGTTTTAATAGTACATTCGCACCAAATACCGCAAAAGCCAAGGTTGCGGCACTTTCAATTTTTGAAATTCTTGATCGTGAATCAAAAATTGATGTATCAGATACCGAAGGAAAAGATAGACCTACGCCAGTTACAGGTGAAGCAAGGATTGAAAGAGCGCATTTTAATTATCCAGCGAGGCCCGATATACATATTCTTAAAGGATTGGATATGTCAATTCTAGCTGGTAAAACGATTGCATTAGTTGGATCTTCAGGATCGGGAAAATCAACAGTCATATCATTATTGCTAAGATGGTATGATGTTAACTCAGGAAAAGTCGATATAGAAAAGATTAATATAAAAGATTGGAACCTTGAATATTTGAGATCAAACCTTGCATTAGTAGGACAAGAGCCTGTATTATTTGATTCAACAATAAGAGAAAGCATTGCTTATGGTAAAGATGGGTGTTCACAAGAAGAAATTGAAACAGCGGCAAAAGGGGCAAATATTCATAACTTTATTATGAGTTTGCCTGATAAATATGACACGAGAGTAGGAGAAAAAGGTACACAATTATCGGGGGGACAAAAGCAACGCGTTGCTATCGCGAGGGCATTAATTCGTTCACCAAAGTTATTATTACTTGACGAAGCCACATCAGCTTTAGATTCCGAGTCCGAAAAGGTAGTACAAAATGCTTTAGATAAAGCTTCTAAAGGTAGAACTACACTTACCATTGCACATCGATTGTCCACCATACAAAATGCCGATTTAATTTTAGTTTGCAAGAAAGGTAAAATTGTTGAAAGTGGTAATCATATGGAACTAATTTCTCAACAAGGTTTATATTATGAATTAGTTAATAAGCAAACTTTAATGAAAAAGAAGTAAATACAGTGAAAACGATATTTTTTTTTTTAATAGAAGAATAATTAATTTCTTATGTAATAAATAGTTAATTCTTTTTTTTTTTTATTATTAGACTTTTTTAATTTTGCACATTTTATAATATTTACGATGTAACTTTATGTATAACTACGATGTATAATTCGATTTTAAAAATAAAAAACACGGTTTTATATACTTTTTTCGAGATACAAAACATTTTATAAGTAAAAAACGCATTATTAATCCGTGGGATAAATTCATATCCGACCGAGGATCTCTTATACAGTAATATAGTTATTGCAGTATTTGGAAACTCATTCTATGTATAAACATGGATAAATTAGGGTTGATAACATTATTAATCAAAAGAAATTTTAAGTACCCGGGTACTATACGTTTTATACGCTTAACATGAAATTAAATATCCTACATTTTGTTTTATTCCTTCAAACATGAAAAGATAAATTTCATCCCGACTGGGCTATTAATAAAATACTTCCTTCTTCGCCATAATCAATAAATCATTCACTTGTTTAATTACATCTTTATTTTCATCACCTTCATTATGTGTAATATTTAATACTTTTTTAGCACATTCCAAAATATTAATGGCTTCCTTAACAGATTCAAAACCGCCGGTTATATCATTCCAATAACACTTTCCTAAAGTAAACAAATGTAGAGCTATCATTGGGTGATACCTAGGATAAATCAATAAATAAATAGAAAGGATGTATTTTCCAAGAATTGTTGACTGATTCCATCGTTTTAAATCTATTTGATCATAAAATAATTTTGTCGTGGATGAAAGTGACGAGATATAAAATAGATGATTTTGCTCGAGTAACGTTGAAATTATCTCATACAAAGAATTTATATAATCCGTCTTGGTCGTATTATTTTTCAAGTGTGGTAATAAATTGGATAATATCAATGTGGTTATTTCCTCATTGTTGGAACCTTGTTTTGTGATTTCACATTCTTCCCCTTCGATCAATTGATCGATTTTAGTTAAAATTCCAGAATCTGGCTCATCTGATGAACATCTAGGGCACTGACATTTAAAGAAATACTTTTCCCGTAATAATTTTTGTCGAGTTGCCCGATCTAATGCCACATCAACATAAGAAATATTAATTTCATCTCCGATACTTATATCTTGAATGCATTTAATTATTTGTATTGCTCCATCGTACATTACGATTGCATTTGGCCGACAAGAATGATTAAACAATGACCCGATCGGATACCTAATGATGATAATGTTAACGTTAATAAAAGGTTCGAGATATGATTTTGTTCTCTCTTCACAAGAGGATTAACGTACGTTCCTTCTCCGTAGATGAATAGTTGACTGTCATGTATGGTGAAATTATTACAATGAAATCTACATAAATGATTAATTAAGTCATCCTTTGTAACCTTTTTGAATTTTAAAATTTCATGAACCTTGGTGGAAATCCTTTCGAATTTTATCAAATTCATAACATGATCATCGTTTCTATGAGTCATTAATTGGAAAAATGTCTCAAACAGATAACCTTTATTATCCAATTTCTCATCATTAAGGAATTTATCAATTAGTATCGAAACCCTATTTAACATCTCTTCATCGTTATCTTCCGCACCTTTTGATTTCGTGTAATTGGAACATAACCATTTATGATGCGTTACCCATGAAGATTTTTGACAGGATCTGCTACAATAGTAAACGCACTGACATTTCGAACATGTTCGTAAAGGTGTAGAATCGTTACTCGTTTTTAAACATTGATCGCATCTGAATTTATTAAATGTTGACAGTGGGAAAGAGGCTAAAGGATATGAAATGATTATTGTTGATCCTGTGAGGAATATTTTATTGGAGATTATTGAACGATATTTCTGTTCATCCTCTTTTAATGATATCCCATATTGAGATAAAAAAGATTCCATCTTTTTGTTTTAAAGAAAAAAAAAAAAGAATTAAGGATTGGTTACACCAACCGTATAGGACAATGCGTAAGCCAGATTATGTAATCATCTTTCAATTTTTGACATATACATTGAGGTTTCTCGTGCGTGGAAAATCGTTCGCAACTAAGATTATCGTCGGTGACACAAAAATTCATACTACCAAGAAATTTCTGTTGATTATCACAATCAAGCGAGAATCTCTATAAAAAGGAGTAAATCAACAAACCTCTATTTCTTTTATATTTTTTTGATCTATTACATTAAAGTTTAGCGAAAATTCGAATATGTCTCAACAATTACATCCAATTATATCACCGAATACGAACTTTTCCATCAGTTGTTCAACATCGTTACCTATTACCGCTAATACGGTTCCTGTTGAGATTTTTATTGAAATATGTCGTTATTTGTCTCCGACCGATTTATTTTCTTTAATGGAAGTTTGTAAACAATTTAGGTGTTGGCTAAGTTCAACTACCTCAAAAAGTACACGAGAGATTTGGTGTACTTCCAGAAAGAAATTCTTACCAAAATTACAATTAGCTCCTTTTTCTGATATGAATGAACAATCATACATGAGATTAGGATTAATTGAAAAAGGTTGTCAATTTTGTAAAGGTAAGGTTTGTAAGGTTTATTGGGTTTTTCGTGTAAGAAGTTGCAAAAAATGTTTTAGTAAAAGGATCGTAAGGTAAAACCTTTTTCTTTTTTTTTTTTTTTTTTAATAAAATGAAATAATCTTTTTTATTGAAGGTAAAAATTTTTTTTTTTTAAAGTCATCGGGACCTACCAAGTGAGGCAATGTTTCTCGTGGATGTTTATAATTGTTTACCCTATATGGAAAGGGGACCAGATTGCATATATTGGCATCGTGATGTGATCGCAGCATGTAGAGAATTAAAAGAGCTAAGGAATAGTAATCCCGAAAAACAAGCCGAATGGATAGGACAGAAGAAATTAACGGCACAGAAAATTATGGAAAATTATAAAAAAAGACGTTCAGATCAAAATCTTTTGTCATTATCACTTCGTAAAAAGGATAAACGACAATTTGAGAGGATCATTCATGAATTAAAGGAAGAAAGGTTGCCTGATGGTAATTCAAAGTATCTTGATAGATGGATTTGGAATTTACAATCTTGTGATGATGCATTTCAACTTTCGAGAGAACCTTTTGTGCAAAAGGATTGGAAAGTATTGAAGCGTGCAATGATCGTTGAATATGAAGAATTAATGAAACAACGAAGAAGACTTCAAATATGTAATGCCATACTAACTTTATTGACGACATCATCGGTTCATGAAAACGCACTTCTGGGAAATGGGATTTCGGTTTCGGATCCTTTGATTGGATGTATCAGGTGGTGTCCTTCCTATCAAAATCCTCCCTTTTTCAATAATGATCCCAGGATTCCATGGGATGATCAATATTTATCAAGTAATCTTATACAAAAACTTCGTGATGAAGCTCAAGATTTGAGAAGATTACCTGGTCAAATTAAATCTGGTCCGATCACGACAGTTTATGGTGCATTGAGTCTTGGTTGTGAGAAATGTGAAATATTCATGTGTAAATTATGTCAAAGTGAACACTTTAATTATCACGAAGCCTGTCATCATTTAAAGGGTTCAAAGCATAATGTAGTTACTGTTTTACCCGATGATATGATTTCTGTTGATAGAAATAAGGTGATTGAATGCATACCATTAATTTATCCTTTTGATGGTAGTCCCTCCGAAACTTTACAACATTATCGTCATTGGCATGTTTAATAACCTTTATGATTATTATAAAAATTTTTTTTTTTTTTGTTTTTAATTTATTTATTAACGTTAATTAATTTTAATTTTTTAATAATAAAAGTATTTCATGAAATTTCTTAATTATTTAAATCTATTGTATATCCCATGAATCAACAATTTGAAAGCACCCTTCAGTAATCTTTGAAAATTCTTTAAATTTTTTCTCATCAGATTTTAGGCTAATTCCAACAATTCTTAAAGTCTTCCTCTTGGAAAATTTTAATAAAATATTAATATATTCCATACTAATCTTATAACTGAAATGAAGAATGATTGTTCGTAAAGGTGAAGATGTCATCCTTAAATAAGATTCCAAGAGACTAGCGGATTTAGGCATTTCAATATCAAGAAAAGTTAATTTGGGCAAAGAAATATTACATAATTCATCAAAAATCTGATATAAACGAGAAGAATTAAAATAAATGGAGAAAGAGGTTAAACTACTTTCTAACACCGATAACGATGAAATGAACCCTTTTTGATATTGTCTTCCTCTAACCTTTATATTAGAAATATGTGAGCATCTAATAAAAAAGTCTTGAATTACTTTCAGCGATGTATTGTGATAAAAGGAAATCTTTTGTAAATTTTCATTTTGTAATTTCAAGAAAGATTGAAGAAATTGTTCTGTCATACGATCCAATTCCAATGATTTTAAATTAAAATCCACTTTTGAAACATTATCAAGCAAATTTTGACCTAAACCATCACAATCACGCAGATAAAGATTTCGTAAATTCTTGAATCGTTGAATCGAGGAAAGTGATATATGTCTAGAAATTCGGGTTAACTTTAAGGTGGTTAACGAATTTGATTGAATTGATGTTAAAGTTTCAAGGATAGAAGTGAACTCCAAACCAAACCTATGTAACCAAACAAAGGATAAATTATGTTGTGCCTTGATTAACTGAATAATTAAATCAATCTTTTTTTTATCTATCATGCTACTTCCATGGATTTTTAAATCTTGAATATTATGAGAAATTTCTTTAAGTGAGACCAAAAGGTCAAATACGTGAGGAGTTATAAAGGAAGTGTTTAACTCGAATTTATTTATGTTTATAAACCCAGGTTGAGAGTTGACAAAGATGGAAATCTCGGGGATGTCATGATAAATTGATTTATGAATGTGTAAGAGCGAAAGGTTTTTAATGATTTTTGAATTTCTCATGATTAATTTTGTAAACGCATTAAAGATGATTTGAATTTCAGCCGAATAATAAATGTCATAAAAAGTTTCGTACCAACTTTCAATCGATTGAAAAAGTTCAACATTATTGTAATCTTGAATATATGATGCATAATTAAACAATGTCGAAGGAGGTGGTAATGTAATGTTATCGTGATCATTGATAATCCCTAACCTCTCTTCAGGATTGAGCAAGGATAATAACGTATTGATTTCCTTTCCTTTTGATGTACATGAAAATGGATGTCTCCATAAGAATGGAATTATAATTCTACACCAAAATCGATTTACGAAAAGAAACGTGTATAACGCTCTTTGGTCCTTTTCAAAATAAAAAAATATCTTATCAAAACATTCTAAAAGAATAAAGTTTAACTTTGTGGACATGCTATTATTAAAGAAGGCGTAGAAAAAGGATTTTTTTTACAAAAAAATTGGTTCTTATATATATTAATATATAAGCGGTAAGTGAACGTTACACGTTACGTCAAATCTTTAATTTCCCTGCTGCGGTCAACTTGGACGTTTTTATGAAATACTTTCGAGCTCAGATGACTCACTATTTGTTCATCTTGTCACAGTTTTACTATAAGAATCCATCGAAATTCACCTATTTGGCTTTGTAGCGCAGTGACCATTCTAATTTTTGGTATATTTTTATGGTCATATCCTTTTTACGCATTTCCATTCATGCAAGAAATTTTTATTTAATAATTTCTGTAAAGTCCTTTTTTAAATTCTACTCTTTCTGACCAAAAAAAAGAAAATTTATAAAAAATTTTGTTCTTTTGAGGGAAAAATGATCAAACATCCACACAACAAATTCCAAGACCACAATCAACTCCCATACTAACGACGAGTGGTGACGGTAATCCTTTACGTAATACGGAAAGTTCAACGCTTGTATCACAAGAAAGAGGACTACCCTTTCATCGTCGTGATACATCAGGATTTAAAAAAATCAAAATCAATTGTTGCGGTACTGATACGTGGTTAAATGATGATAATGATCCTACAAATTGTTTTTGGTGTGCCTTTGTTTAATTTTTGTTTTAATTATTGCAACTACTGGTAAGCTTGCTTCTTTTCATAAAAGAAGAAAGTGAACCATGAATTCATTCGTTTCAATTTTGTAGGATATTTTATACTAGACGCGGACATAAAACATCAAGATGAGATTCAATATTTTGAAGTAAAACCTTGCCCCCCTAACTTGTCCATAAGAGGTACCTTGTCACATTTTCTTTAAAAAAAATTTGTTGTAATATCAATTATCCGAATTCTTTAGTTTCTAATGATTGTTACATAGGGATCATTGTGTCTACCTTGTTCACAAGGAGAGGTAATTTGATTTAGTCTTATTTAAACATCATTCTTTAAATAATTCGTTTTTACTTCTAGAGATTATGTATGCATCATTTTGGAGAATGTTTAAGGTATTACTGCGTTTCACAGGATTTGGTAGGTCACCGTTTGTTCCCTGCATTTGAACCAGGATCGAAGTGTATTTACCATAACATGTCTTTTTAACAAATAGACTTGTGGATTAATGAACATACATTAATTGTTAGCTAAATATATATATATATTATATATATAAAAAAAGAACGTTACGAATCATTGTATTATATAAATTTTAATATACAAAATACTTTATTGTTTACAAGTTAATATTTTTTATATTTTATTAAATGATTACATAATTAGTAAATGTTAATACATGTACATATATGAAAAATAATTAATTAATTAATTAAATGTCTTTCAAACATTGAAAATTAAAAAAGAAAAAGCAAATAACATAGCAGTGATTAAACTAATACTAGGAGTGACCTTGATTGAGCCAGCATTTGATTTGGCTTTTCTTGGATCAAGTACAGTGTCAATTACATGTATGACACCATTGTTTGTCAAAATATCGGCGGTGACAACTTTAGCATCGTTAACAAAAACCTCTCCATTTGAAATTGTGATTAAAACCTTTTCCCCTTTGGAAGTTTTTGCTTCAGTACCATTTTCAACTGTACGAGAATAAAAAACACCTTTAACGATGTGATATTTCATGGTATCCTTAAAATCTTTGGATTCAAGTGTGCTTCTTGATAATTTATCAAAAGCTTCATTATTTGGGGCGAAGATTGTAATTTCATTTTCATTATCAACATCCGAAATGAGATCCTTGATGGTAAGCGTTTGGGAAAAGGTAGATAATTCAGAAACTTGCTTGACGGTATCTGATGGACCCTTTGGTGGCATTAATACTATAAAAAAAAGGATTTAAAAAAGTAGTTTATAAAAATTTTCTTTATCAAATTAATCAAGTTTAAAAGGTTTTTTTTAAGATTTACCTGTGTCAATGACATGAATGTAACCATTTTTGGCAGCCAAGTCAGGTTGTTCAACTTTAGCTCTCTCGAGACCATCGCTAATGGTAGCACCATCATTGCCACCTGACCTAACCACAACAACCTGACCTGCTTTATCAGGTAATTTAACCCCCTCGGTAAGTAATGTGTTTGGATATTTGGTTTGGATAAGGTCATCGACTTGGGCAGCTTTATTAATGATATGATATCTTACAATGTTTTCTATATCTTTTGGATCTTTTGGGTAATTTGCACCGAGAGCTGTAAAAGCTTTATCCGATGGAGCGAGTATAGTCAATTGATCGTTTCCAGCCAAAACTTTGGAGAGTTCTTCATTCGCACTGATAAAATTCCTTAATGTGGTCAAATTTTTATTTGTCATCACATTATCCGTAATACTTTTGGTTGCATCTTGCGCAATAACCGTTGAAGCGAAAGCCGCGACAATAATAACGAGATGTTTAAGTTGCATTGTGAAATTAGCTTGTTAAAGGAATTAATTTAAAGGTCCTTTTGATCTTATAGAAGTACCCTTTTTATATTAAAAACGAAAAACTTTTACATTAATCTCATTTATTCCGTCATCGATATTCTTGTCCCACCTCACTAAATTATGACACGATAATTACTCATCGATTTTTGTAAAAATGAAATAATTATGAGATAATCAATTCGCTATATTGCATTTATTTTAGAACGATGTATAAAATCTCGGGCGTGCATGAATTTAGACAAGTAGTGGCTAACGATTATTTACTTTCATTCATATTGTTCGTCGATCAAAAGTTTTTAATTAAATATTTTTGCTATGTGCGTCATTTGTATACCAAATTGGTAACACGAGATTTAAGGTTCGTGCCATGATAAAATTGGTAAAAGTTCAATCAATAACGCTTATTGAAAAATCCTTGAAATTCTATTGATCTGTATTAATTGTCATTTTTATGATCCGTTATCGATTATTAATAATTTCGTCTTAAAGGACTTACTTTACATTTTTTAAAATTATAACTACGATATTTTCATAGAGAGAATAAACTATTGATCTTTTAAAATGAAAACAGAATGGATGTGATATATTATGGTGACTTTCTGTCGAAGTTTAGATGCAAGAAAAAATTTACCATAAATCTACGGAAATGGCAATACAAAGAGCTAGAAAAACTACATGCGCGTTCTTGTTTTGACATGAAAAATAAATTAAAATAATAAAAATAAATCATAGTTGTGGATTCTGAATCCATTCAAATGGATACGGAATTAAAGTTAGAGTTGGAATAGTGAGTGTTGGGTTTAGGGATAGGTAGTGCCAGCCAATATCCAGTATCCACTGATCTCTCTTAAAGATTGACGCCTTTATGTCATCGCAACAAAATTTCAAACACATGAGAATGCTTTTTATGTGGTATGAACAACAATGCTGCTTTCTTTCCTTATTAGAGTTTGAATATTAGTATTTTTTAATAAATTCAAACTCACTACATGCATCACCCGAATACAAAATTTAAAATGGAAATATAGAGTTCGTCATACCTTAATCTTTATCAATCTTTTTTTTCAGAATATTTTTTTTTTTTTTTTGTTATGAATCTTTCGCCAAAGTGGCGATGCATTTGGGTTGATTGCTAGGAAAATCAGGTTTCGGGAATTTTTTAGCGAAATTGAGATTTTTATTGCATTTTATTTTTTGATGTTATTAGATTAAAATGTATTAAGCTCTTAAGTTTAGTTAAAAATTTCTCAGAACCTGATTTTTCTAGAAAAACTCCCATATAATTTAGCTTCCACTCTATATAGTAATAATAGTAAAGTATTAAAAACAGATATAAATTTTTTGTATAGTTATCAATTAAAAGCAATTTTGATTCAATTTTTAATTAATTTGATTTCATTAGAATCAATTTCAATCCCTACTTTGGATCAAAATTCATTACTTATAAAAACAGAATAACTAAACTTACATTTAAAGTGGATTTAAAACATTCTTACTATTAATAAATAAGTAAATCTAAAGAAAGCATTACAGTAACAAATTTGTATTACTATGAGTTTCTTTATATATCATTTTCTCAATTCAGTAACTGAATATGAAAATCAGTTTTGAAATTTGTTTGTTATTTAAATCTTGTATTAATCAAGAAAAAATAAAATTGATCATTTTATTATTTAAGTTGAAAAAGTAATAATTTTTAATTAAAATAAACAGCAAGTGCTGTTAGATGTTAATAGAAATGTTGTATGATTATTGATATTTTAAATATTGAGGATAGATATCCCTTAAGGAATAAGGTTTATTTGGTAAGCAAGTTATTTGAGTTTTAGAACAGTTAAGATAAGTTAAGGAGTTTGGTAATGTTGGTAAGCTTGTTATTCGAGTTCGTTAAAGAGTTAGGTAACGTTGGTAAGCTTGTTATTTGAGTTTAATGACAACGGAAATCTGTTAAGGATTCAGGTAATGTTGGTAAGCTTGTTATTTGAGTTTCATAGCAATAGAGTTCCACTTAGGAGTTTGGTAAAGTTGGTAAGCTTATTATTTGAGTTTCGTAGCAATGGATTATCGTTAAGAAGTTAGGTAATGTTGGTAAGCTTGTTATTTGAGAATTGCTACAATTGAGTTTTGTCAATTTTCGATATCTTTGCAATTCACCTAAGGTTTTCAACATTTAATCTTTATTTATTATTTGTAATAGCTAAACTATCAATAGTATCATCATAAATAATTAATTCAAGATGACTGATTCTTTTTTCTAATTCATTAATAATTTCTTGCTTTTCTTTAGATGATACTTCTCGTTCTCTGAACTTTTCTTCTAAATTATTAATAATTGCTTGCTTAGCTTTCGTTTCTTCTTCTCGCTCTCTAACTTTTTCTTCTAAATATTTAAATTGTGAAAGGAACCCTTCATTACTTTGCTCTAGTTCCTTAATTCTCGTCATTTAGATTTTTTTCTAAATAGTTCTTTTAAAACAATTTTTTTTATTTTTTTTTTTTGTTCGGATAACGATAAGCTTTTTATTTTCTTGCATGAATTAAATAAATGTTATAAAAATACTTGATAACTGAAATTTTTAAATTGCAAAAAGCGTTTTTTTTTTTTTTTTTTTTTTTTTTTTTTTTTTTAAAAAAAAAAAACTAAATTGTAAATCATATTAAATTAATATAAAATGTCATTTTACTTCATTTCAAGGATTAAAAAATTACCACTTCTGTATTTAACTTTAACGATATTTGAATTAATCTTAATCGATTTCTTCTTATATGGTCAAATATAAAATTATTTTACATATTAATTTTTCGATTACATGGTTTTGAATACTGAAAAATTTCAAATTTGCTAACTCAATGATATTTTTATTCAGAAATTTTTTTGGAAGATCAAGGACAAGAAAAAAATTTTTTCAAAGTTACACCAGTTATTCATTATTTATTAGAAACTTGATTAATTTATTTTTTATTTATTTTTTTTTTTTTTTTTTGCTTTTCCAAAATTTTTATTATTTTCGCTATAAACAAAATTATAAAATCAAAAATGCAAGATGCCAATAATTCGAACGAGTGGATTAGTCGCATTTAAGAATCAATCTTAGAAAAACATATTAAATACTACGAATATAAACATTTTAGCAGTGCTCAAAAAATAGGATAGGTACTGGCAGCTTTGGAAAAGTCTATCATGCAAAATTGGAAAAGTTCAAAACAACCTCTCACGTTAAAATCATTTCATATCTATAACAATGCCACTGCTAAAGAACTTGTTCGTGAGATAATTATATATAATAGTTTCGCTTTTTTTAGTCTATTTAATAAATACATCAAGCTAAGATTTATATATGTTATAATTTAACTCGAAATTCAACGTGAAATTGATTTTCATGATAATATTATTCGCTTTTATGATATAACTTCAAAACAAATACGTGTAACGTTCATAATAATGTTTATTAAAGTTATATATATATATTGACACTTTTATTTTAATTTATTTTATTTATAAAATTTTTAAAAACTTAGAAAGTCAAATTGTACAATTGAAAAAGTATTTATATGCCGATGGCGGTACACTTAAAAACTATTTGAAAGGTAATTTTGATAGGCTTACTTGGGATGATAAATACAACCTTGCATTCCAGTTGGCTAGCGCTGTGTCATGTTTAGACAAAGAAGGAATTGTACATAGTGATTTGGTAATCTTCATAATATCTCTATTCTTGGTTATTATTGCTGTAATAATTAATAATTGATAATTAATTTTATATACAATAGCATTCTGATATATTAATTCGTCAAGGTATAATTAAACTTGCTGATTTTGGATTATCGAAAAGAATTGAAGCGGCAACTAAACAGCTGACAAAATCTTAGGTGTACTTCTTTATATGATCAAATAAGATTTACTAGTCGAAAAGCAAGTGACAGTACATCGCAACTAAGGTTGCTGGGCAAAACCCGGAGGTTTTGACAGGCATCGAAATCGAAACCCATCGAAACGTTTTGCCAAATTTTTTTATTAAAGGCAAAACTGCGAAAGTTTCGACGGGTGGCAAAAGTTTCGACGGATGGCAAAAACCCATCAATATTAAACTACAATTTTTTAACTTTAAAAATTTATTTTG